GCCTCCACGCCAGAATGGAATAACGGTAATTACAATGAACCTTATGGGGAAATTTCCTTTGGGTTGCGACCAATTCGGGTTGCAACCAGAGTCACCGAACGAATTAAGTTCGTAAACCGAGGTTCCACTGTACAGATTGGAGCAAATAAACTTTGGAGGTCCTGTTCTTATTTACTGGTGCTAACATGAAAAGTTGTTTTAACTGTTATATGTAATAATGTATGCTTTTTGATTTTCCTGTTCAGTGTCGTGGACTCATAAAATGAAAGAAGAGCCTTTTTCAGACACTGCTCTTAATGTGTATTAATTATTTTGCATGCCAATAGGGACTACGACCATCTTCGGCTGACTTTTGTCAGCTGCAGAATCAAGAAATGAAGGAAGGACAGCTCAAAGCCTATAAGAATGCTCTTGTTCAAGAAAATGAAATGAAAGAACGGGTAAGATAGCCTGCCCAGGGAATAGTACATTTGGATATGAATTGAAGAAACTATGATGTTATAGTGTATCCTGCATGAGCTGGAGATTAGACTCTGAGGTCCCTTTCAACTCTATGATTCCACTATCTATTCCTAGTTCTTCTTTAAATGTGTCCGATTAATTATGGGGTATTCAAAACTATTTTTATATCATTTAGTTTTAGCCAACAGTATGGTTCAAACAGCTTCTTTAATGGATTTATAATATGCTTATTTTCTATGCTATTGTTCAGTTTGACAAGTACCAAGACAACTTATTTTGACTTGATGGGCAGATGTTTGTGAACTTTCAACATGGGAAGTTTTTGAAAACCCCTCCATTTTCTAAGTAGCACACCTCAGCCTTAGAACTCAGGGAGAAGGTGTATACTCTGAATCAAGCTAATGCCATGTTTAACCACTGCATGGGTTTTTAATATAAAAAATAGTAGATGCATAGCATGGCCTGGGAATATACATGGGGGAAATCCCAGGTACAGAGATGCTGAGGAATTCACAGGGAGGGCATTTCACAGGCTGGTGAGTTAGTTTCTCATATTCCTAACTGACAGCTTGTTTTGCACCCCCAATAAATGAATGCTCAGTGTGTTAGTTATAAAAGCTTTGCAAATCAGCCCCCTGGCATGGACATGCTATGGCAGAACATTGCATATATACCTGGTATCTGTCCCAGGGAGCATTGCGTCTTTTTCCTTGTAAATATTTACATTTAAAGTATTTACATAAAGTTAATTCTGATCAAACTGGCTTTTAGTGCCTATTTTCTGGGGATTCCGCAAGGACATAGTGTTTTTGCTGTGTCCAAGAGTGCTCTCTGCAGGCCCATTTGGGGAAGCCACAACAGAAGGGTGGTACAATTTTTTAAAAATAACAACAAAAATACAGCTATTTTCATCATAAGAAAAGTTACAGTATCCATAGTAAAGCAAATTCTTTGTTAGGCCACAAAATAGCATGCATGCTTTTAAATTCTCAAGATCTTTTCAACAGGTGAGATGGTAAAAGTCTTTGATACCCATATCATGTCTGCATTTTTACAGCCTTAGATGGAAGTTTGAACTAGACTGTAAATATGCAATGTAGAGGTACGTTTCACATTAAACCAAACATTCTCCCTACAAGGACTGTTGGGATAAAAAAAACAAGCTGTTTGGTCTGGTGCTTGGTGGGTATTTTTGTTTTTAACTTTGTTTTTATGAATTGTTGTGAGCCACCTAGTATCATTATATGAGATAAGCAGCCATATAACTCCTGCAATTAATTAATTAATTAATTAATTAAAAATGGTTCCCCCATTTTTAAAAAAAATAAAATCCAGCTGTTATATTCAACTTATCTCAATCTTTGGTAAAACACAGTTCCTTTAGTAAGTGAGAAAATAGTAGAGAAACTATACAGTTGTTTATTAACAAACCTGAGTATAATTTGAAATATTACAGGGGCTTTAAAAATGTCAATACAAGCCAAATTACAGAGTATTCACAGTACAAAATCTTAAAAACCAAGCATGTCCCCATAATATAGACATTCATTTCCTATATTTATTTATTTTATTTTATTTATTTATTAAACTTGTCCCTGCCCATCTCCTCCCAATGGGGGACTCTGGGTGGCTCACAACATATTAAAACAATAAATAGATATACAATTAA